ACAGCTATAATAAAAAAAAATAGGTTTAAATAGGTTATTATCAGGTTATTATCAGGTTATTATCAGGTTATTATCAGGTTATTATCAGGTTATTATCAGGTTATTATCAGGTTATTATCAGGTTATTATCAGGTTATTATCAGGTTATTATCAGGTTATTATCAGGTTATTATCAGGTTATTATCAGGTTATTATCAGGTTATTATCAGGTTATTGGGTTTAACCTATTGGGTTATAGAGGGCGGAACCCAAAACCCAATGGGTTAGGTTTTAGGTTAGAGGTTCCGACCCAAAATGGGTTCTGCCGAAGTCTATGGACGGCCAACGTGGTTAGGCTGATCTTTAGGAAAAAGCACGGGATATTTGAGAGGTTCAAATTTTGCCACTTGAAAGCGAGCTCTTTCAGGCATTTGGTTATTGAAGCCTCTGGGTTTGAGTGTGCTGGGATATCAGCCAGTTACCGTGTTAGGACTAGCGCGTTTGGTATGCTTCATTTGAAAAGGTCACAACTTAAAGTACTGCCCCTGTGCATCTGTTATGATTAAGTTTTATATCGTCTGAAGGTCAAGAATCAAATTTTGAAGATACCACTGAAGGATTGAAGGTAACAACGCTGATGTTAATGCCTACATGATTTTTGACAACTCCATACATTACGGCATAAACATCCATGGATGAGAATCGCTAATTACCTACGACGTCTCGAGGTACTCGGCATTTCTTCAAAGGCATCATCATCATCGTCATCATCATCAATACCATCGCCGATAACACTCATGTTACGGGTGGAGCGGTTAGGCCGTGATGACAGAGGCGCGCCGGCCTGTGAAGCAGAGAAGCTGAGCGTAGACTGAGCCGGCTTACCGCGTGTAGGTGCTCGCCTAGAAGTAGTCCTACCAACGGTAACCGATGCTGAAGCGGGCGAGGCAGCAGCACGTCCACTGCCGCGCTGGGTCGTCGTTATTGTAGGGGCAGTTTTTCGTGGCTTTGCGATAGTGGTAGATGGAGGCTGCTTGACAAACAATGCCTGCGAATCATCGTCCTCATCATCAGAAATGACGTTGGCTACAACATCGTCGTCATCATCATCTAGCATAATAATGTCTGATTCTTCGTCTGAAACTGCTTGCTTCTTGCGACCCTTTGTAGTCTTTGTTTCTGGGGTAGATTTGGACTTGTGGGTTCCCAGACCGGCCATTCCACCTCGACCACGACCCCTACCACGACCGCGACTCGGGGCTGCGGCACGATCACGGGAAGGCACTGTCCCATTTTCTCCAGCTTCTTCCTCTGCTGGATCCCCACCTTCATTGTCAGAATGAAGAAGGGCACCAGGCTGGTCTTCCCACGCGCCATCAAACTCGGAATCCCAACCATCTGGCTTGGGCTTAAAGCGCTTTTTACCGCGAGTTCGCTTCTTCAGGCCTTTTGAAAACATGCTTTCCATCTGACCACGATATTTCTCCATAGCAGTGACTAGCGAACTTTGCCCTCTCTCCTCGTCGTCCATCTCGTCCTCGTCACGATCCAAGGCTAACAGGTGTTTGACTTGGCTCTCGAGGGATTCATTGACAAACATCTCCATTGCGTGCTTGTCATCCTTGTCAATAAATTGGGCAACAGCATCCCCGAAAGAATTCTGCGGGAGAATGCTTAATGACTGTGATGAAAGGAACTCGCGCACTAGTTGTTCGACTTTCACGGTGTCAAGGGCCGATAGATGAGAAACAGCCGATTCATCAATGGATGTATCATCCTTACGCGACGTAGAAGCGGTTTTTTTCTTGCGGTAGAATTGCACCACATCATTCACGTTAGCGACCTTACCAATGAAGCGATTGGAGAAACGCTGGGGGTTTTCACAATCGTAAATACCCCCTTCAGGCGTGGAAGTCTCCACACGGAGGCGAACGAGAGGAAGTGGAGCCACCAGTGTGTCATTCTCGTCCTCGTCAATGCGGTCGCCTTGCATCTCTAACCATTCTGCGTTGGCTTCTTCAATCAGTTCTTCGACAATGGACATGAGGAACCGAGTTACTTCTGTGCGATTGTTCTCCTTGCGTGCAAGCTTTTGGGCTCCCTTTTCTTCGGATAGTACAATTTCTCGCATCACAAATGGTCGCACCGTCTTCAATCGGATAGGTTCGTTTTGAAATTCTCGGCCTGTTACACTCAAAATCGAGACATGTTTTGCAACAGCCTCCCCAGGTACCAAGGACGTCGCGACAGATGATCCTGGCTGCATAACGTGGAATTTGGTCTCCGGGTTGAGCTTAGGATCAATCAGGCATTCATGTTCGTGGCCCCAGATGACCAAATCGAGAAATTCGGGCAGAAAGTTCTCCGGAAGATAACTTGTTTCTGTATGAGCATGATGATTCTGATGCACAGACATTAAGTTGAACCAGTCACTTTTCTGGACAGACGGTTGAAAGAATTTAACTTTGCCATCCCGAAAGGTGCGGAACAGTCGCTCGTCACGAACGTTGCTCATTCCGTACAGCGCAAGCTTTGTCCGGCCTTTCTGTAGCAAGACAGGCTTAATTTGAATGTTGTCTGACTCCAGAGTCCGGCCGTAGTAGTTAAGAAGGCCGGACACTTGCAGTAGATCTAGTGCAGCCAGATGACCCTCTCCCGAGGGGTCGTCGTGATTTCCGTGGATGGAGAAGATAGGAATCGCCACGTTCATATCCAGGTCCTCATAGTTAACATGGTTGAATGCCCCCTGGAAGTTTTCACTTGCATCGCTGAGCATCTCTAGTTCACACGGCTTGTCCCCAAAACAGTTCATTCGAATCGACCGCATGACCTGATACATGGATTTCCGCGATGGTTTATTCTCATGGAACAAGTCTCCCGCCAGGAGGATCATATCGACATCCCGTTCCTTGGCCATGCACATGATTTCGTGGAAGCTCTTCCAGCTGTCATCCCCACGGATGGGATCTCGCTCGTTGTAGCCGACATGATTATCGGTGGAGATGAGAATGCGAATGGTTTCTGCCTCTATAGACCGATCAATAAGCTGAACAGCTATTCTGTGTCGAGGATGTCTTACCATTTGCCCCAGGCATTCTGGTTGACCAAACTCACGTGTCTCAGCCAGCGCTGGCGTTTATGCGGGGTATTGGGGTTGAGGATGCACCGAGGAGATAATATCAGATAAATGCCGTGTATCAGTGAGCCATTCCAGAAGAATCACATCAAATTCACACCCGAGTCGTACTGAGACAGTAGGTGATCCTCCAGGGCTCGCCGAAGAGGCTTCTATCGCGCTGTCACGTGCTGAACGCGTGATGGATAGTGGCCATCAGTATGAATGGCTTTATAGGTGAAACTAAAGATTGAAATACGTAGCCATCACAGGGGACCTTGGTCCTATTTACTTTCATTGCCAGACCAAAACTGTCTCTCTAGATTTGGAATCATAGTTTTCGATTTAGTTGAATAAGAGTTTCAAGTTCTGTAGATGTTGTATGCGAAAAACATGCCTAGCCCGTTTGGAGGCTTGACCCCAAAGTTGGTATAAAGAACAAAAAAAGACAACTTCATTGATATGCAAATTATCCAAGTCCCATATTCTTGAGTATAGAGGCCAACGATTCTGCTTCTATATAATCAACTCAGTATACAACATAAAAGGAGAGAATGCAATTGAAGTATAGAAATTATTGCAAAAAGGCGGAGAGAGCGGTGAACTCAATCAGCCAATGGCATCAAAATACCCCAAGTGGTCGCTGTCCGCGATAGCCGCATTTGCTTGTGCGGGATGGCAACTTTGCTTCGCCTTCCATCTTTGCTCTATTTACCCTCTCTTTATCACCGCATCACTTTCATATAATTTTTTTTTGCCCGGCATTAATTGACTCGACTGACCCAGGCTTTCTGGCTCAGTCGCTACCACTTCATCTTTCCAGACCTTTTTATGCAGCCAGAGCCTACTGCCGTGTCTCAATATACGCCCCCCATTGACTCATATTCAGTCATTATCAGTCCCACCCAGCATGGACATGACCTCGACGACTCTCAAGTCTCTGAATTTTTCGGGCGAGAGGAGACCAGGGACTCTGCAGATGTCCCGAGCATGTCGACAAAAGACGAATCCGATGCGTCCTTGAACAAGGTCGACGATCGCCATTCCCCGCCGTTGGCGAATCGAGTGAGCCGCCAGCATGAGAATGCTCGGATATCCCCCAGACAAGCAACCAATGCTGGATCTTTGTTAGTAGCTTCTTTTGGACAGTCGCACACATCCCTTGAGACATTTCCAACTGGTAGACGCCCTGTAATCCCGCGGCGCAATTAAAACTAACAACCATAATTTTCAGAGGTTCTCACACATATCCTATCGCATCTAACCCCCCAATCCTTATCCGCCATCACCTTGGTGTCCCGTCGATTTTATGCGCTCGTTACCAATCCTCACGCTTGGAGAATCGCCTTCTCGCGGTTCTTCCCAGGGCCTCATGCTGTTGAGGGTGGCCGGCGTACCAATATCGATGCGGCAGACCTACAGTCGGACAGGCGATTCTTCGCGAGGTTAACCGCCCTGGCCTCCTGGCGCAGCGAATACATCTTGCGCACCCGCCTGATGCACTCGTTGGCCCGGGGAAAACCGGCGCAGTTCAAACCGCCGAAGAAGCATGGAACTGTGCGAATGGCTAGTGCTCGCCATGGTAGTGCCATAGCCACTTATTCATCACAGCTCCTCTTTCCGGTCAGTCACATACATGCCTCTTTCAGGCGCGACAAGAACCCTCTCTTCATCCACGGAGCCGCAGAGCAAGGGGTCGCGTCTGCCAGTGACCCATCGACCGTAAAAGTCGGTACCTGGGGTGTTTCCGATCATCAAATGTTCCGCCACTTTGCAGATCTGTTCCCCGGTGAAGCGCAACATGGCCTCGGATCGGGTGACATGGTCGGTATGCCCAATTTGATGGACGTCAGTCAACCATATGGCATGATCTATGGCGAAGGCTGTCCCCAGGGGCGCAGCTACTTCATCTCGGCAACGGAGCTGCGTGGTCGTTTCTTGGGAGCTTCGGATTTGGTTTCCCACCCACCACTCGGCATTCCCGCCGTGAACATGATCACTCATGCTGTTTGTTCGGTGTGGATTGCCAAATCCTTTCACATCCTCAAGATGACCCAGGGGCTGGTAGGGATGCTGTCTGGGTCGTCATCGGGTATATTGACGGCATATTCAATAGGCCCTCATCCGACCTATGAAAGGCGGCACGAGCCAGGTCAGGTGACTGCTAGATGGGTCCTATGCCCTGGTGTGCCTATAATTGGCATCGCGGTGGACGATCAATATTCACTCAAACGTCATTCGGGGAAACGAATTTGGGCTGTTGCTCTCAATGCTCTAGGAGAAATATACTATCTAACCGAGCTTCCTCGGGCACCTGAGATCCCGCTCACAGCCAAACTCAACGCCGAGCAACTTGACGAGGCGGCTTGGAAGACTGGTAGAAGTGTACATTGGGAGATGGTCGAAGCGAGCAGACGGGTGGCACGCCCAGATCCCTTCAATCGGGAATCAGTCAATGGCAGCTACAGCCCGCGCTCTTCATCGAATTCCATGGGGCTTAACGAGCACCAGATTGCCGCTGAAACTAAGGAGATTGAAAATTTCATATCTTTCAAGCCCAAACACTTCCGCAAGGTCTGTGAAAGTTGGGACATGCAACGCGATCTCATGGTCGACTTTGCTGGCGACGACGGCGGTGGAGCAGGCGAGTCGGTTATTGTCATTTCTCGTGGCTCGGGCGAAAATGCGAAGGCATCGATCCGGCGGTTCATGCGCACGACTTCTAGGTCTGATTTCGGCTTTAATACCCCAGAGCCCTTATTGGGTGCTCCGAAGCTTTGTGCACCGGAAGTTCCGCCCTCACTCTTCGGCGGCCCAGTGAATACACCAAGTCCGAGTGTCACCAGCAATCTTCCCCTTTCTCAATACCCCAAACGAATGAGCTCACAACCAACCAATTTCAGATGGCGTCTGTCAGATTTTGTTTTTGGTAATCGCAAACCTTCGGAAGTGAGCACTAGTGCATTGGATACTTCTACTTTCGCGACTCTCACAGCTGAAGAGGATCCTCTTTTGGTTATGCCTGGGAGCTTCAATTCGTCTGCAACATCGTCCCCGATGCTACCACACATGACACAGCCGCGGTCAGGCCTTGAGGTTCCTGGGCAACGCGCTCGATACCTAGCTGTTGGAACCCGCACTGGGATGGTGTTCGTCTGGGATATCCGAGCTCCGGCGGCGAAGTCTGCGGAGATCACCAATTCCATATCCTCATTGCGCATCATCCAAACAGACTCGCCCCAGATATCTTCCTTGGCCATCACGTCGTTATACCTTGTTCATGGCGGTAATGATGGCCTCGTGCAAGCCTGGGACCCACTAGTATCGTCCACTAAGCCAATCCGGACGATCAACTCCCGATTCTCAACCCGCGCCCGTCGTCGGCTTGTGCAGGCTGAGGCATCTATTCTAGGTGTTGGAAACAACTACTATGCCACAGGCGCTATCTGCCTTGACACAGACCCAACCGTTCTGCGTGGAATGGTCTCACTTGGCACCCACTTGCGATACTGGTCTTACAGTTCTTCCGAGGCTGATCAGTACAAGAGTAGCAAGCGCCGCCTCCGACACCCACTGCGTGGCGGCAACGGGGTTGGTGAAGGCCAACGCTTCCACAGTAGTGGTCGGGGTGCCATTGAGGACTTTATTGAAGATGAACGCGTGGATATGGAGCGTCAAAAGATTTCCGATGAGAAAGAACGAGCACATTTGAGCGCGCGTTTTGGAATTGACCTCCTTGGTCCAGATATCGACGAGGAACAGCTTTTGCTGTATGCCCAACTCCTGAGCGAGGAGGCCTGCTCTGGCGATGCAGAGAAGCCCACGGACAGCGCCACAATCTCCGGCTCAGCCACAAGCGCTTCAGTCGATACGGTTGGTCCTAGCTCACTTGGTTCTGGCGAGATTTCATCCTCTTCATCTCCTTATCAAATTCCCACCGACGAGAATGATGATGACGAACTTGCCGAGGCAATCCGTCTTAGCTTGCTTGACGCGCAAGGTGTTGGCCAAACCTCGTCTATCCCTATCAAGTATGCCAAGGGAGGATACCCGCCTCGACAGCCGTCGTTTGGAGCCGGGGAGGCCGAAGGCAGTAGACAGCAAGAGATGGATGATCTGGAATTTGCGATTCAGCTCAGCTTGGCTGAGGGCAAGAGTCGCGAGGATGGTGATGGGAAATGGGAGGAATTCCCTTGTCTCGCGCCGGGTCCAATACCTGTCTCATCGTTAGGAAAGGGCAAAGGTAAAGAGAGAGCCGTTTAGAGTCGATGTGCAGTTTTGCATGTTGCATTATGAATTTTGAATGTGAATTTTAAATGTGTCGTGTTGTTGTATAAAAGTTCCAAGTGTTTGGATTCAACTTGAATATTTCTTGTGAGATATGCGATTGAAGCATCAGTAAATCAGAACATTCATGTCTTTCCAATACTACAAATCATATCATAAGCCCTCAAAGGTCGGAAATGAGAAAGATGTTGCGTCATGACCTGAAGCACCTACATAGCTAACTTGAACTCCCCTCCATCTCACAACCATTCAACATGTGGAGATCCCCTCTATAGAAATTTGGAATTGTCTTTTCAAACGAGAAGAAGGACCCTTTGCAGATGACCACTGTGAAAATTGCCTATATCAAAGCCGTGCTAATAGATATAGCCATCTTCCAGTCTCCTTCAGGTGAAGTCCAGACAAAGGACGTCCGATTCTAATCCCTGACTTTTGGCGCCAATCTCCGAAGCCAGCGGAGATGGCAAAAAGGTCATATTCTCCTACTCTTTGCGCCAAACGAAATTGGAGTCCCCGCGTTGCCTTGGGGGTGTCGTTAGGCCGGAGTGGTGCGAATCCGACATACACTGCTGATGAGTTGAAACACGAATTTAGTGATACTGGATCAAAGGCACTTGTTAGACACACCTCGCTTTTAGACACTTTAATTGCAGCTGCAAAGCGCGTAACATCTTTGGTATGTCATCATTGAAA